TCCGAAGGAAGAACCTACCTGTTTTTTTTTGGGGGGGGGTTGGATATCAACCATTTGCACCATTTCTGTTTTGCTGAATTAATTGAATATCTTACATGACTGATAACTATAATAATTATTACATAAACTATAAAAGATTAGTCATGAAATTTGTTGATAAGTTTTGCATATTTTGGTTGGGTTGATAACACGGAGGTCACTGGTGTAGAGTGTTTAATTTTTATCTTCATGACATGTCAGAGAGCAAAGGCTGTTATTTAGTAGCAATCATCTCATCTCCAAATATCATATGACAGGTAGAACATTGTTTTTGCATATCTGTGTCAAGATCTTTTGTTAAAGTAATGAGACAGTAAAAATGTAGGTGGGCCCATGCCTTTCCCAAAAACATTATTGTGAACTGAACACAAGAAATCACAGCTGGAATTCTGTTCATAATTTAATATTTGCTTTTTGTGTTTGAACATTCTTTTAATAATTACTTTAATGTTTACTTATATATAAAATTTCATCAGCCTTTTCATTGGTCTTGATATTTTCATATAAATGTCACACTTGTGCCAGCAGGAACAGATATCTAAAGAAAATGAAAAGACAAGTTAAAATATCAAAAGAATCTTGAATTACACTCCCCTCCCTCTACATTTATGCTGAGTTGCTCACAAAATTGAGAATTTTATTTTTAGAAACCTTTGTTGTGCCATCAGATTTTAAATAAGGGTGCCTTCTCAAGCATCACAATTTGGATAGGACACTTTTGATCCCAATTAGTTGAAGCTTAAGGCACAAGTATCCATAATTCCCAGCAGAAATCACAAATTCTTCAACTCAGACTTAACCAAGAATGGCTTATGTCTTTTATATATATATATATATATATATATATATATATATATATATATATATATATACCAATGTTCACCAATACAAGGTCCAAGAGCCACTCAAGGTAAAGGGTTACTGTGAAGAGTTGTATTAGCATAAGGAAGGACATGTGTTAGAAGTATAGAGCTGAAATAGACATTAGAAGGAACAAGAAACCCAGTCCTAAATAGGAAGCAACCTCTACTCCTATTCAGAAGACTGGGGGGAGGAGTGTCAACTGGACAATAGGTTCACCTATCTATTCCCATTGGTGGAGGAGATAAAATGAAATAGTGAATAAAATTTTCAGAGTTCAGGTGCAGATGCTACAAGTACAGAGCTGAAGCAGACTTTAGAAGGAACTGGAAACTCATTCCTAAACAGGAAACAAGGAGTAAACCTCTACTCCTGTTCAAAGGACTGGAGAAGAGTGTGAACTGGAAGATAGATGAACCTATCTGCTCCTCTTGGTAGAGGAAAAAAACAAAACAGTAAAAATAATTTCAAAGTTCAGGCATGGTGATTAGCTTTGAATAGATGTATTTGGGTAGAGTTAGTTATGGAACTGACAGTATGATATCTATTAAGTTATGTATGTCTTTGTGGTATTTGTATATGCTGCTGCCATTTTGTGTGTGTGTGTGTGCACATACATGCTTGTATAACATACAACCCCCAAATTTTCACTTTTAAAAAATGATTTTATTGTATCAAGTGAGTTCCTTTTCTGACAGGCCAAATTACAATAGACTAACCTATTTCGCCATGTTTGTATTTTATAATGCAATACCAATATGTGAATATTACATGCATTATTATTGGATGCAGTTAAGTAAAACATCAGTTTTATCAAAATCATGTTTATTTTAAATACAGCTGTACTTTTTGACTATAGTAAATGGACATATAGTTTGGTCAGTGGCATAGCCAGGGCCAGCAGCACATATGCTAATTTTATATCTCATGTATGATGTGACCCCACTTAAAATTAGCTTCAAAATTAGGCCTTCAAAAGTCGCATGATGCAAAAGTATATACTCTGTGTGTGTGTGTGTGTGTGTGTGTGTGTAAAAATTTAATGTTTAGATATCTACTTCACAACCATGACTATATTTATTAAGCATATTCTTCTCTAAGTTCTTCAGTGTAATGTATTTCCTATTTAAAATTTTTATTTATTAATTAGTGGTACATTTTTTTTTCTGCAGGAAAAAGTTACTGATAAGAACAAAAATTAATTTGAATGAAATAATTATACTTGCAATATTGAAAATGATGACAATGTCTAAGAAATATTATAGTTTTACTATGTTTATATGACCTGTGATTTTAAGAATAGGATTAAGTAAGCAAACATGGCAAGTCTTTCATTTATTCTAATGATTGCACATATCGATTGGGAAATGAAACAATAATCATAGTTTTATTTCAGCATTGTCTTCATTTGAACATTTAGGCAAAATTTCATCTTTTATCTTTTTATTTTTTGGAAATACCCCCCCCCCCAATTCTATCATTCCCCTGCTTGCCTTTTAATTATTTTTTGCAGTAGCAAATTAAATATTTCAGATAGGAATTGAAATTGGTTAATAAGCACAGAATTTTTTACACCAAATATTTCTAAACAAGATTTGGTATTCAGTTTTCATGTTTATTCACAATAGGGTAGAGATTGTCAGTGGTCAGGAATTATTGTAGAATTACTGACAGATGTATAAATTAAGTGTAGGTTGAGTTTGAAGTAATTTCTGTTTTTAAAAATCAATTGTGATGGCAGTTGTATCATCCTAACTACTAATGATATGTAGCAGTTAATAAATTTGCAGTACACTAATATACCTGAGTTTTTTTTGTTTTGTTTTTTTCATGGTAGTGGCAGCATACATAGTGGATTAAAGGATAAAATCTAGTTCTCCTCCACAACAATTCAAGACCCTGGAAAAAATTTTGAACTGTGTTAGTCTGTTTTGCCCAACATACCACATTCATTTGACCTTGCACTAAATGATTATTTTTTTTTTTCAATTGCTACAAAATGCTTTGATGGGGGGAAACTTCCTCTAATGAAAACCAATTTTAAGAGTTTATTGAAAAACTTTTTTAATGCTAAACCTTTTAGTTTTACTCAGAAGTTTTGGAAGAGCTGCCTAATAAATGGCAACAAATCATTGCAAATAATGGAGAGTATATAATTGAATAAAAATGTAATTGTACTTTATTTTTTGAAGAATCATGTTCATAAATTTAATAAACAGAAATTGGAAATTATTTATGACTCCACCTAACACTATTCTCTCATAGTCAAAGTATTTTAAATTGATAATTTCAATGAGAAAAACTTATGATCTTTCTGAGATGAACTGCTTGATTCAACATGTACTTTATAGTGAATGCTTTTAGTTTTATTATATGCACAATTTACTTATCTTCATCTGACAGTGAATTATAAGTTGCTTGTTTGTCTGACTAGACTTACAAATTTTATTTAACTGAAAGCAGAATGTTTGGTTTCATTTTTTGTTAATAGCCTTTTTCTCTGCAAATAGCTTGAAAACTACACACTATAAACAAAGGGTAAGCATAGAAATAATTATTTAGTAGATTACTTGGTGTTCACACATTCATTTAAAAAAAAAAACAAAAAAAAACAAACACATATTATGAAATTTGGTATGGGAGTTTTAAAGAAAACCAGAAAATTATAACAATTTTAACTATGGGAATTTATTTTAACATTCAGGAAGAAAATTTAAAAGATTACTTCTCAGAGTTTAGTTCAGGAATATAATTCATGTAATTTCTCTTGTCTGTAAAATTTATACATTGCCAAAGGACATCTACTTTAATCATTTTATGTATTGTTGGCAATATGCATTCACTAGCAAAAATTACTCAACACGGATTAGGGATTAGATGATATTTAATCTTAGCAATATTTTTTCATCTGATTTTCAAAACTTACTTTAATTTTTTAATCATTTTTAGGAAAATGAATTTCAGGGATCTTCAGTATGGCTTCATCAATTTCAAAAAAGCATAAAAAAGCCTGTTTTAAAAGATTCTTGATATTAGTGTGCAAAATTTGGATGAAAATATAGGATCCACCCTTTATTTAGAATTATAAGGGGTAATAAAAAGGTCTCAGCTTAACTCATTTCCCAAAGTCTGCCAAAGATCACAAATTAAAAAAAATCCCTTTGTCAGGCCAAGATCTTTTCAGCATTTTGTAAAAGTTTTAAAAAGTTTTAATCTTTAACTTCAAATGGATTTTTAGCCCAATATAGTGAGTTAAAAAAAATTAAAACATTAAGAAGAAAATCTTATAAAATTTCTTGATAAGTTTATATGTAAAGTTTAATGACCAAATGACCCACTAGTTTATCAGTAGTTTTAATATTTCCTTTAGAGATTAAAAATATTTATCTTGATTGATATTAATTTGACATTAGATAAAATTACACCAAACATAATAATTTTAGGGAATCAAAGATGAAATATTTTATTTTATCTTTTTTTTTCACTAATTAATCATTTTTCTTTTTTTTGTAGCATCTATAAATTATTTGGCTTCATTATTTATGCTAATTGTAATAATGTTTTTTGAAAGGAATATTAAACAAAAGGAAGGGAAGCACTCATTTTTTATTTTCATGATAAAGAAGGCACAAGCTTTTGATTCTTTTTTTTTTTTTTTTTTTTTTTTTTTTTTTTAGCATTATAAGTGCTTTTCACTCCTTTTCCTCTAAAATCCTACTCGCTTCTTGCTACCTGATCCACATATGCCACTACTGACATTCTACAGTAACTGAGTACAATTTTACTGCCTCCATCCTTTTTACAAGATTTATAATTCTTTTGCTTTAAAAAAAAACAGGAGAAAGCATTCCCAATAGACATTTTGCTTTTCAATTATAGTAGAGTATGTTACAGAAGATATATGTGTAAATGTGGTTGCATATTTATACACACACTGCGTACAGTGCAATCCCCTATTTTTATATGTGAATAGCATGGGTATATTTTATTCTGCATGATACGGAGCCTTCTTCACTGTGGTTGGAAAGTGTGAAATAAGTTTTTCAGTTTGTGTAACACATCATATTATCATTAAGACAGGATTGTAAACCCAGACTTTTATGTCTTTTCCTACTTTGGA